GGATGAAAGGGGGAAAAAATGTATGCTTCTTGTCATCTGGACACGATTTTGACTTTTATCATGAATATTTAGGGCCTTATGGCCTCTAGACTTTTACAAGTGTGCAGGATACAGGAGAACACAATTAGCCTTTATTTCGTCTTTCATGCAAAAGCCACAGAGCATCACAGTCTCCAAAATCATCTATGCAACTACAGGACACAAGGCGGACCATGCAGTGGGAGTATGCTCAAAAAGTCCCGTCCCTGGATTCTACAGCTTGCATATACAGTTGACACCACAGAAAGATCACATTCTAATTTGATCTGACATATATTCTCTCAGTATGGTTGAGCTGGAAATTTTACCTATCTTGTGGCAATGTGAACAGTGCCACCCCACAAGGCTCATGTAATTATTAGCTGAACCAAATCTGTGTATCTCTGTGGCTGTGGTGAACAATAAATGGTACAAACTGGTATAAGCCACTTGCATGTTTTCTGATCACCACAGCTGAGGACAAAATGTATTGAATGCTAAAACAGATTAACATTTGCTTCACAGCCCTACAATAAAATGCTAAGTACAGTAGTGCTGTGTTCAGGGATTGCTTGTGACATGCATCATCCATCAGAAGCTGAGCAAATTGCCCTTGTCTTCTGCTGTCAGACAAAGATGGCATGATTCCTGGAGGTTTGGTGCTTCCATCATGACAATTTGCTGGAAGCCCTTTGCTGGGCAGAGACTTTACCAAGCCAGCCTGAATATTAAGACACTCTACATAGTGCTTTTGGTTTAAACCTCGGTGGGGAAAAGAGAAAAACTGATATTGGCTCACCTTGAGATCAGATGTCAGACAACTGAGAAACTGGTGGACATAAGTTCTTGTCACTGCAGATTTGAGTGATCTAACCCCAAGTGTTTTTCCCAGGGAAATTCATTTATTACACCTCTCATTGGGGTGGCCAACATGAAAATATCTGCAAATTCCGTATTTGGTGAGGGGAAGAAATGCAGAAGAGTTGCTCAGATTTAGCCATGAGAAAACTCTGATTATGTTAAGAAATAAAAAAATTGTACAGTTTGGCGAAGATGAGAATGCTGTTTAGATGAACTTGATTTCAACAGCAAGAAAGAAATGAAAGAAATTAAGGTGATGGTAGCCATCATCAATGAATCAGCATAGAATCCAGAAGAGGAACTAGGGTAGAAACCACTGCAACCAATTAGTTGGCTGAAAAATCAGAAGATTAATCTGAAGAAAAAGTCAGCCAGTTCCCCTGGGTCACTACAATATCTAACAACAGTGCCAGGTCTTCACCAATGATGGAAAGCATATGGCCAAAAGAGTTATTCAGCGGCCTAGTCCTGAACAAGTCTACTGATGATGATCAGATTTGGAATTTTGTCTATCATGTAAAATAGGACAGTGAAAGATACAGAATGGCCTAATTAAGAGAGGAATGGACTAGGGATCAGAGCTTTTATTTTTATTTCCATCACAGGTCTGCAGAGTGACTGCAGAGAAAGCCTAACGCTCTGTCTGTTTCCCCACATGCAAAGGATGCAGGAGGAGTCTTGCACTTTGAGTCACAAGAATAGTCCTCAACAATCTTGTTTGAAAAGTGAAAAAACCTCTGAAAAAAACGTACCAAACAGATTCAATAAATTTCTTGCAAACAGAAATGAGTTCACAAACTCTTCTTTTTAGAAGATGTTCTGTTATAGGAGAAAAGGGATGGAAAAGGACAAACATACCTGTGAATTAAGCTCTTCAGGGGCAGATGCAGGCAAGTTACATTATCATGGACCTCTCCACTTGCTATTTAATCTGCAAGTAGTGTGTGTTCTGCAGAGCAGCCCACAGTGCAGATATAGCCAAATTCCAGGAACAGGTTTTAAGGATGCCTTGAACATGCAGCTGACTATACACACTACTTCCCAGTATCCTTAGCAAGGAGATGTGCATGAAGACATCTCAAAAGGAGCTAGAGATTTTTCTAGAGAAGGCTTCCCTCCAGCAATTGCTGACAGAGGAACCGTCTGTGGCACTGTTGCAAGGTAGAGGAAATGCTAGCAACCCCTGTAGCTATTATTTGTTGCCATTAACGACAGAGGTGATGGATGGAAAGATAATGGAAAGGCAATGCCATCTCTGTGCCTTGCCTCCAACTGCTTAGCCTGAAAATCCAGCTTGATGTTTATATAGTGTTCTCAACCTGTAATCTGCTAATTGTTGTGATTAAATAATTCTCCTTAAGGTTATAACTGGTTTTAAGTTGTACAGTGTAACAGCAAGCATTAGAACTGACAAATGACATTCCTCATTGAGTAAGCAACTGAACCTAAACCTGGGGGCTGAGAGCTGGAAGAGCATCCAACAGTCATGGAGGGGACGTAACCCCAAAAGAAGGAATATTTTATTAGCATCTGGGAAAGAAAAGAGGAGAAAATGCAAAGGAAGCAGTGGAGGGCTGAAAACATCTATTTTACACAGGCTGTGTTGTTGTGCTTGGTGTGTGGGCACACTCTCCTAGACAAATATCTTCAAGCATGGGGTGCAAGTCTTGCCTCCCAGTCAAAAAAAAAGGGAGAATTCTGTGCTAAAATATCTCTTGCGAGCGGCACAGTGGCTCCTGAGAGCTGAGGTGCACGAGAGGATGCTGTGGAAGAGTTTACTCTATGGTAGAGGGTGGTGGTAGTTTTCAACACCACGTGTTTTTGCTAGGAGCTGAATGGCATCAGCTATGCAAAAGAGCTATGAACATGGAGCAAAGTAAAGGAAGAAAGGCTCAAGGAACTGATTCCTTGGGCTCTGTAGGACCCAGACTTCAACAGACTGACTCATGAAGCGGTAAACTACCTGTAGACCTAGTCTTCACTGAGGACTGTGAAATATGACTATTTATACATGACAACAATTTATGCAATACTG